AAAAAAAAAATATATATATATATAAAGTCTGTCTTCCCCTTACTCTCATTATACCTGGATTTCTATCCCAGTGTTTCACTCTGTGTGTGTTTCCTCACTTAGAATGGACACTTCTTGAGGCAGTGACTGTGTCTGATTCTTTGCTGTATATTCTGGGCTGATACCTATCTTCTAAGATCATACTAATTGTTAAAATACAGAAAAACTTCTGAACTGGTTGGTAACTAGTATGTAATAGCAAAAGTGTAAATGTTAACATTTAATTCAAAACCAAAACCAAGCCCACTGCCACTGAGTCAATTCCAATTCATTACGATGCTGTAGGACAGAGTAGAACTGCCCCATAGGGTTTCCAAGGCTGTAATCTTTATGGAAGCAGACAGCCACATCTTTCTCCCATGGAGCTGCTGGGGCTTTGAACTGCCACCTTTTGGTCAGTAGCCCAATGCTTTAACCACAGCACCAGCAGAGCTTCCAAAATTTAATTAGTAATAGAAATTTTAGTGTGCATAAATTAGTTGAAACTAATTTTCTTGTGCATTCACACATGGCCTCCTATTGCAGCAACATCCCCAGCACTATATGCCAATTCTGTTCCTGTGATAGTGAGCAGCATGGCTTAATAAAAGGTTTATCATTTTTAAAATGTTTTGTTATGGAAATTTTCAAACATACTCAAAAGAAGAGAGAATTGTTAATCAACCCAGCTTCAAGTATCACTCATCTTTTTTTATTTTTATTTTGCCTACTCTAAGCACCCCATGCTTTAGGAGAAATATCACTTTATCATTATCCTCAAACTACACAGTGGTCCTGGATTCCAAAGAGTTGGCTTATTGTTAATGTACAGCAGTTCTTGTGTAAGCAGTGTGTGGTGTTTTGACATTGTAAATTCAAAATTTATAGTATATATTACAAACAAAGCCAGGGGATAACGAGGAAATAACAAAGTATGCATACATTTCCTTTTAAATTTTGTAAGCATAAACCTTCTGAATCTATACAACAAAGAAGAAATAGCGATAAAAAACTGCAGCTGGGGAATCGTCTGGTGAAAAAAATGACAATAGTCTGGAATGTCTTTTGATACCATGTGAGAATCATACAGAATAAAACAAGCTGTATTTCTGGAATGAAAAAACTTGATTATTTCAGTAAAAATAGGAATGGCTTATTATTGCTTGTGATGTGAATGTTGGATACAAATGGTGCTCAAAAGTTGGATTATTGAAAGTTGAAAGTGATGAAAGCTTACATATTTCATCAGAATGGCAATCATGGTTCAAATAAAGAAAGTCTGGGATCCTCAATGAGGAAAAATATCAAAGAACATCACAAATTTCAGACAGGGTAGCATTTGAAATAATAAATGCTACCTAAATTTATGAGAATGTTGACAAAGCAAATAAAAATTTAGAAAGTATGGTTAAAAAA